GACCTACACAAACACACACTCGTACAAACACCCAAAAAAGCTTTAAAAAAGAGGGGAAAAAGAGAGGACAATTATTATGTTGTTGTATCGTCAATTCAGTTGCCAAGCACGGCACGTACGAGGAAAGTGCAGGCTGCTACGAGTCCTGATTTTCATCCCCAAAAAAACAAACCAAAGAAAGAAGAGCTGGTAAAGAAGAACGTTCTCAGAGATGAAAGGGGGGAAAGATCATTGTCATTTCAGGGATGAGATTCCAGTTTTCATTGCATGTTTCTTGTCTTGATTTATGCATGTCATCCTTGCTCAGGGGCCATGCTATTTTTCCTTTCTGTTTCACCCGTGGCTCCGTTCCATTGGTGGGGTATCGTTAAATCGTTCCAATCTTAACGGATGTCCCAAAGGACACACTTTCTTCTTTAGACCACCCCCCCCGCCACCCCCCATTGCATTGCTCCACTTCCCTTTGTTTTCTCATCCGATTCCGACTTCCAACATTCTTTTTTTGGGGGGGGGAGGAAGGGGGGGTCTTCAAGCCAGGGGGCTCCACAGTTTCCACGATCATTCCAACTTCCAACATCACTTGTACCCTTCATTGATTTTCCAAACAGCCCCCTCCTTTTCTTTTTCCCATTGCACCCCTCCCTCCTGCAACACAACGATTGTCACAGTGGAGTAGGAGGAGGAGGAGGAGGGGGGGGAGAGGAGGGGGAGGAGAGGAGGGGGAGGCTGCACAGTGGTCATGTGCTTTCTCCCTCTCCCCCCCCTCCCCCCGGTGCTCTTCCACCATCCACCACCCAGGGGCAGTACGTTTCAGTCGGGATCCAGATTCAAATGGGCAAAAAAAACATGTACCAGCAGGTCAGTCACACACCGAGTTTGAAAAGGCAATAAAAAAGACACCACGTGACATTGAGAAAAGGCGGGTCAGTTTTTTTGCAGGCAGCAGGCCGTGATGGGCAAAGTTACAAACTGCTGGTTTATGTTCTTTTTGCCTAGTATCCAAAACTCGTGCTGACAGACCTGCCAATACAAGTTCTTTTGGCCTTCCAAAACTCAAAACTTTTTTTTCTTTCCCTGAAAATTCACTTTATTGATATTTCTCAAAACAATCGAGGCCGGGGACCTCACAATTCAACCCGGAGTTATCCCGGCAGCCTCAGCCAGTTTCACTTATCGAGCACTGATGTCACTTCGAAACTTCTCTCTTCCTGTGCCTTCCTCACTAGCCTTCACTCACAATATTTGATCCTCGCCTGCCTTTATCATCTACTACTGGGCCTACTTCGACCCTGGGACTACTGCGGCCCATTGGATCCCGTCCGCCTTTTTTTTTTTTGTTTTGAAAAGACACACCCTCGCAGTGCTAGTGATGCTGGTAAGAGCAGACACCACTAGCACCCGGAGGGGAGGCTCCATCTATTTGTGGGGAGCTTCACCTGCTGGAAACCGGGTCCAGCGTCCCATTTACAGATTGATGATTGTGAACTGAAGGAAGATGAAACCTGCCAGCATTGATTACTCTGGGGTCCAGAGGATTGACTGTGCAGGTTTCGATGTAGATAACTTTGGGCAATACGGGTGCCCGGGGGGGAACCTCTTCACCATGTATATTGGCGCCAGATCCCTACTGCACTTTCTAGTTCCCCCACCTGTCATCATCTGAGTTTACGTTCTTCTACCCCAGTTTACTTTCAGCCAGCCCTAGCTGGTCTTTGTAGCCTCAGAGTCGCCTCTCTCTGTCATGCAACTGTCAGCGCCTTATAAGCCATACCACTGCATCCCTACAAGGCAGTTGGGGGGGGGCGGGAAGGGGTCGGGGAATTCCTCTGGGGGTCTGAGCGGGATCCCTGCGTCCAAATTTGCCCAGTTGTTGAATGTCAAGCGGTAGTCTCTCTCTATTAGTGCTCCCGGTTGCCCCTTGCCTATCTCTCTTAACTCTCCTTTCCCTTCCACCTTCCCAATTGCTCCACCCTCGGGTCCTCCCAGCCAGCATGAACAGAATTCCTGTATTTTTTGTTTGATGTGTTTGGGTGATTGGAGTGTTTGGAGGTTGGATCTGACCTTATCCCATTTCGCTGTTATCTCTATTTGAATCTGCTGTATCACGCTGTCAACGAATTTGGGGCCTTCTAATCTCACCCCTTCCATCTCGTAAGTGCAACGCCTTCTCCATAGTGCCCAAAGGACCGCTCTTCGTCCCAGTGTGAGCATATTGGTGGTGTAGTCGTTAAGGTGTTCTGTTAGTCCCCCGGGCCAAGTTTCGCAGAGCACCACTTTCCAATCCCAGGGCCAGGTCGTGTCTGTGACTAGTTGGCTCCATATTCTGTCCCACCACCTCCACATCCACAGTGCTCCCGGGCATTGGAGGAATATGTGCTCTATTGTTTCTGGGTGTTTTCGAGCTGGGAAGGCGTTCATGCAGAGTTTACACCAAGGGAGGGCCAGCCCTCTTTGCTCCAGCGTTGTTCTGTCTATTAGCCAGTTATTGGTTGGTAGGCAGCGGTGCTCCATCTGCCATTGAAGTGACGCGATCTTAGCGGGTTTTTCCTTTGCCAACTTGAACCATTTGACTGATCTTAATTCCGCCTGGTCGATGTTTAGGTGAGCTTGCCATCGCTCTTTCACTTGGTCAGCCAGGTTGGTTCTCGGTCCGAGGAGCCTGTATGTTGATCTGACGGACAACCCGTAGAGTGATTTAGAGTAGGTTTTTCCTTTCCATCTTGCAGCTGCCCATGTCCATTCCAACGGGTCCAGGGACAGTTGCTGGATCGGGGTGGATGGTCTGAAGGCGATCCATTGTTGGTCTTCTTGGAGCACCCTGATGCGGAAAAGTTCGGCCTTCGGGAAGACAGACGTTTCCTCGTCGGTGCTTCTATGGAGAATGTTTCCTTTTTTTACGTGGAAGCAGCTCACTGTCACGGGCCCCTCCGGATGTACGGCGACGACCCTGCCTACTCCCCCTACATTTTCTGGACACGCCACCCAGTCATCTTTTTGCAGGGTCGGTCCCTTGCGCAAGATTCTCAGCCAGTCTATAGGGACCATTTCTGTCAATGTTGCCAGGGCTTCTTGAGGGTGATGACAATATCTCAGTTTTTCTCGCAGGCGGCCAGGTTCAATCCACTCCCTGGTTGCTGCGTCCCATATGTCTTGCACCCTTGTGATCCCTCGCTTCACCCAGCCCTGCCATGGTGAGTCCATGCAGTGGAGGGTCTGACCCTTCGTGTTTGTTATCCACCTGTTGCCGAAGAGAGGTTGCCGCATCACCTCCTCTCATCTCTGTGGTGGAGTTTTGTCCGGTAGGGGGAGGCTTCTCCAGGTGTTGAGGAGGTTGGGCCAGAAGGGATCATTCACTAGATCGTCCTTGAGTGACTGTCGTGTTGTAACCGGCGGGGAGTCCCGCCGACGTGTCGCTCTGGGTATGGGCCATTCTCTGTTTTCAAGCCACATTAACGGGTCAGCAGTGTCCTTCGTTGGGGGGGCTATTCTCGAGATTTGTTCCAAGGCCAGGCCTTGCCAAGGTGAT